CCCCAGTCGCAAAATCACTGCGCGGTCCCTGCTGACGTGTATTATGGGATAAACAGTATGCAATCGAGATTAAATAAGAACAATAAACAACTTGCCTTTGATTTGGGTTTCGCTTTGGCAACAGGTTTGTAGCGTGGGCTTGGTTTTCTCATAGCTTTGAGACGCTCAAAAGCTGACGGGATATGCACATTGTACAAATCGTTCTCGTCGTGGTACGCAGCATTTCCGGCTAACCCTTGCGCGTAGCTTTGGCCGTATCGCGTAGAACTCGGACTGGCCAACCCGGTTTGGTAATTCCGGCCTGTTTGTTGTTGTGGGTAGCCTTGTTGAGGGTAGCCGTAGGGTTGTTGTTGCTGTTGTTGTTGTTGGTATGGATTAGGTTGCATCCCAGGTGCACCCATTTGGCGTCCAGCACAACATTCTAGAAAGAAATGAATTGTATAACATCGTTGTCTTATTCACAACATGTTGATATTGTTCTACACACGCTTAAAAATCTCACACTCTTGTAGCAAGTCTGCCAACGAGCCTTCAACAAGTTGTGTTCGCACTGCTTGTCCCAAGGTGTCAACAAGTTTGGAACAAGCTGTTAACAACTTGTAACGACCTTGTTGATATTATCAGACTTGTTGCAAGGTTGTTCTTACAAGTCCGATACAGTCATGATATAACCGTTGACCTTGAAACATTCTTGTTATATCATGTCTGTATCAGACTTGCTAAAACAACCTTATAACATTCCTGTTATATCATGACTGTATCAGACTTATTACAGCAACTTTGTAACATTCTTGTTATATCATGACTGTATCAATCTTGTTAGAACAACCTTGTAACATTCTTGTTATATCATGACTGTATCAGACTTGTTAGAACAACCTTGTAACATTCTTGTTATAGCATGACTGTATCAGACTTGTTAGAACAACCTTGTAACATTCTTGTTATATCATGATTGTATCAGACTTGTTAGAACAACCTTGTAACATTCTTGTTATATCATGACTTTATCAGACTTGTTAGAGCAACCTTGTAACATTCTTGTTATATCATGACTGTATCAGACTTGTTAGAGCAACCTTGTAACATTCTTGTTATATCATGACTGTATCAGACTTGTTAGAGCAACCTTGTAACATTCTTGTTATATCATGACTGTATCAGACTTGTTAGAACAACCTTGTAACGTTCTTGTTATATCATGACTGTATCAGACTTGTTAGAACAACCTTGTAACATTCTTGTTATATCATGACTGTATCAGACGTATTAGAACAACCTTGTAACGTTCTTGTTATATCATGACTGTATCAGACTTGTTAGAACAACCTTGTAACATTCTTGTTATATCATGACTTTATCAGACTTGTTAGAGCAACCTTGTAACATTTTTGTTATATCATGACTGTATCAGACTTGTTGGAGCAACCTTGTAACATTCTTGTTATATCATGACTGTATCAGACTTGTTAGAACAACCTTGTAACATTCTTGTTATATCATGACTGTATCAGACTTGTTAGAACAACCTTGTAACATTCTTGTTATATCATGACTGTATCAGACGTGTTAGAACAACCTTGTAACAAGTCTGATAATGCCATCAAGCTTGTTACAAGTTGTTAACAGCTTGCACCAAACTTGTTACAACAACTGGGAACAAGCAGTGCGAACACAACTTGTCGACAGCTTGTGAACAGATTTGTGACAACTTGTTTGCAGACCTGTAATAACTTCTGCGTTTTTATGTGTGTAGCTTACGAAAGTATAGAATGAAAGGTAACTGAGCATTCCAGAACGAGGCTTCTTCAAATAGAGATGAATCTAACATACCAAATTCGACTGGCGTTTTTTTAGAATTTATTTTTTCAGCGTGTACATACGTAAAAACGCGCAAGTTGTAACAGATCTGCAAACAAGTTGTAACAAGATTGTTGTGAAGCCGATATCAGGATGTGTTCGCACTGCTTGTTCCCAGTTGTTGTGACAAGTCTGGAACAAGTTGTTATCACCTTGTTACAAGGTTGATGACGGTAACAGACTTGCTACAAGTTGTTCCAACAAGACTAATATACAGGCTGTTCGTAACAAGTTGCTACGAGCTTGTTGTCATCAACTTGTTACGTGCAGACGATATCAGACTTGTTGCAACAACTTGTTGCGAGTCTGTTGGCCTCGTCAACCTTGTTACAAGATGATAACAACTTGTTCCAGACTTGTCAACAACTGGGAACAAGCAGTGCGAACACATTGAAATGCTGTAAGATTTTTTCATGTATAGCCAATAGCGAGATCTATTATGTACTACTCATATTAACAACCCTTAGTCAATTGTTATAGGTCTGTAATTTGTAATAAATTTGGTTTTGTTAATTCTTTAGATATTTACTATCGCTTGTAAAGTTACAGTTTATATTTTGAAGAAATGAAGAATGGGGGAATGTGGCGTTTCTTCAAATGAAAAGTAAGCTTCGTACTAACGGTAATTTAAACACAGCAAAAAGAGAAAAAATTCTTAATTTAAGAACAAAATTCGTAAAATAAGAAATATTTGATTCTGGAGACAAGAAAGCTTTTCTTAACTTATTTTATATTACATATATTATATTATATTATATTATATTATATTATATTATATTATATTATATTATATTATATCACATATATTTTCTTTAGAATAAGAAAATTTGGCTTGAGAGAATACTCAGAAAATTTTCTTAATTGAGAAATATATTCTTAAAATAAGAAAATTTGGCTTGGAAGAATACTGAGGAAAATTTTCTTTACAAGAAAATTACGTAATTACGAAATTCATAAGAAAATATTTCTTAAATGCCTTCGGAAATACAAATTAAAAAGCGAAAAAAAATTACTCACGTGGTTGGCATGAGGGTGCGCATGACTGCGGGCATCCTTGAGCACACTGGCCAGCGGCACTTGGGCCAGGCATCCCTGCGGGTATAGCAGGCGGTGGAGGTGGGGGAGGGAGGGTGTCTTGGTAGTTTAGAAGATCTTTAAACATTCCTTCATGGTAAGGTTGAGCTCCCGCAGCACAACAGCTTCTCTTGCACGAAGGAAGACAGAATTTTTTACATCCAGCATGACACGCCCATGTACTCGGCTCTGCGGAATAATAGTAGAAGTTTATAATATATATGTATATACAACTGTTTCCAATTGAGCTAAACCACACACAATACAGTAGAGATTTTTCGTGATATATTAATACATTCTAAAATGATTGGGTTCTGGTTAGATTACAGAGGGTCTTAATTGAGGTCTCTGGATGTCAGTTAAAATTTAAGTCAGTTGTCAGTGCGATATATTGCAAGCTGTCAGTAGTCAGTTACGGCATTTCTCAGTTGTCAGTTAGGATATTTTCTCAGTTGTCAGTCAAAAATTCAGGCAAATGTCAGTAGTCAGTTAATCCCATTCAGACCCTCATTACAGTCAAAATGATTAGACGGATATTGAATTCCTTGATTACAACTAAACAATTTACAATACGTGAAGAGTGGGTCTCCACTGATTGATAAACTCTCGATGTAATTCAGCTGCCTATACGCTCTCGCACACTGTCTCAATATCTCAATACGATACTTTCCTTCGATACTTTCTGGATACTATTACGTCATGCACATTTGTCAACACTTAATCACTAATTCAATCAGTTACCATGCAAATCAAATAGAATCATGTTAAATCAAACTGAAGTTAATTATTAATCATCTTCAAATTGTTTGTAAACTGTCCGATCCAACAATGTTGTACTAAAATCTATACCCTAGGCCGGATTTTGGTGGAAATAGTGGGGGAGGTGAAAAAAATTGAGGGGAGGTGCAACGTCTAGCTCACGATCCCCATGGAAAGTTAGGGCTTACTTGTAGAACGGGACAAAGTCAACGACGTGACGTATGCATGTAGTGTACATATGTATCGGTGTATTAATGAACAATGACTGTACAACTCATCCAATTTTGCCCTTCATTACAATTACTACAAAGTTTCTTTCAAAACATTGCATTGAAAGGGTATTTGACAGAGAGATGAATGATTATCACTGTTTCAATTTTACATAAAAAAAACTTTCTTCACTGTAAATCTCGCAGTGTTGTACCGACACCAAAATAGTGTAACATTACACTGATCCTGCTACCAAATTCTTCCCGTCAATCTGAAGACGATGCCTTCGTAGGAGGCTATTGCCCGTATTTTAAAAGCTCACTCTCACTCAATGAGTGGAAGTTCAATCTGAGCTTCTCTCGAGTGTCATTGCTGTTTTTGAATAGCTGGAGGGTTAGTGTCATACCTTACTATGTGACTACTCACCCTCCAGCTATTCAAAAACAGCATTGACACTCAAGAGAAGCTCAGATTGAACCTCCACTCATTGAGTGTGAGTGAGCTTTTAGAATACGGGCGTATATATTTATATACACTATTTTCCATACCTGAACTTCTCTTTGCTACAAATTCTATCTTTGAACCTGAAAGAATTGATGATATCTCACTCAAGGTTTGCGAATGCTTTGTCTTAACTGGTGAGATCCGCACGATTGCGTTTGTTCTCGTTCTTTGAAGAGTGAATCTCCGCAGAACACAGCAGCATTTCCTTTTTAGATTGCTTCCTATATATATACTAACATTGAGCCATTTACATTACCTACGTTGTCATAGGCGAATTTTGTGCTTTATTAACACAGTATAACTCAAGTTGTCGGCACGTTGCATGCGACAGTTTTAGACAAAAGTTAATGTGTATACATGGGCGGATCTAGCCTCATCTGCAAGGAGGGGTGCAGGTTTTCCATGGGGTGGTGCATGAGGGAGCCTTACTGCCCACTCTCCTCTGCAGTCTACAACGCTACTATCCCAACATTACCATTATTTGAGATGCCCGAATCTGCATGTTCGTTACGTTTTACATAAAGTTTATATCGGCTTTTTATCACTTATGCGTGACTGGACACTTGCTGTAGCACAGTATACAGTAAATTTGCTTGTTAAAGTACAGTATATTTGAAAATATGGCTGTATAACAACCTCGACATGTTTACATATTTAACTCTTCAATGACAACCGGTATCGCATTGCAATATACATTCAATGTTTCTAATGTAAATATCTCGGCGAGTATTTACCCCCCCCCCTTTTAAACGCAATCTCGAGTGAAATTCTCACCAAATAACCTTTCGAACGGGGGGTCAGATGCCGTCAAAACATTACACACTCCGAAGCAATCATATGTTTACTCACTGCTTGGCCAAACATTCTGTATTTCGTATTGAGAAAAAGTTGAATATCTTCTAAACTTTTCGTTACTTTAACCATGATTTTGAACTAATTCATTCTGACTCCTGACATACCTGATTCGTACTCGACGTTCGTGGATCCCGCGAGGAACACGAAAAGTTCAAGAATCACGCAGACTGTATAAACGGCCTGGCGCTTCATGGGAACGCCTCGGTATATACCGTCTGTTCCTGGATAGAATAAAATCACATTTTTCATGATACAATATTGATGCGAGCCAATATATAGCAGAAATGTTTAGAACCACTGAGTAGTTTAACAAAATACAAAACATATGTAACTCCAAAGATCGATAACATTTTTATATTTATTTTGATAAATATAAAACTGTTATCGTGGAATTACAGTTGTTTTGTATTCTATAACATATATACGTAAAGTTGTCAATGGCGTAGCCAGCCGACGATCTAGTCCGGCTATGCAAATATTGTCATGTTTATAAACTATCAAAACAATAATTGATTAAATTTCTAAACACATACTCGAACCGACCTGACCGCGTAGCCCAGTTGGCAGAGCATTGGGCTAGTATTTTCCAAAGGTCGTAGGTTCGATTCCCACCGTGGCCAGGCATATTTTCAAGCCTGCCCGTACATTACACCAACAAGTACATTACACCAAAGTACATTACACCAACACAGCAAATATCATGATTATTAGATTACATTGATATCGAAGGAACTAGAATTGGGCTAGTATTCCAAAGGTCGTTGGTTCGATTCCCACCGTGGCCAGGCATATTTTTCAAGCCTGCCCGGTGTGGATATACACTCAGAGTAACATCACACAAGCATCTTATTCACCTGAGTACATTACACCAACACAGCAAATATCAGAAATGAATAATGATAATGAGTTGAAACTTGCATAGCGGGACTAAGTCGTTGGACACTGAAACTTGTTGTCACAAATTGTCTAAAGTTCAAAGGGCAGAACAGTTCTGTTTGCGCGTTCTGGAAATAACGAATTATTTCACTGGAGAACATTAATTTTCCTCCTTATATATATAAATATACAATATGAAACAATGAACTGACAATGAAGGCAATTTTACCCAATAAATTAAACTTTATTTAACTAGAATTTCACGCTTGACAATTTACGTTTTTTTGAGCGAATTATATTAGCTATCCATAATATGCACAGATTTCGTTTTATGGAAGTCAGAAATATACTTTAGAATATCCATATTTCCGCATCTACATTTGTGTTAACGTTTCCACTTATATATAACGATATTTAAACAAATCTCGTACCTTTTTACGGCGATTTTACAAAATTTCCTCTTGATTTTAAATCTTTATTTTGCTCATGAAATTTACGGGTAGTAATTAGATCATCGCTTGACTGACTTGTTCACAAACAATAAAATTCTTTTCAAATTAGACAAGACCTCAGTTTTAAGCGGGAAATACAAGAAGATTTTAATGTATGCAGCGACTATGAACAAGTTTAATCATGTGCAATTCATTGTTTTAATACTGAAGACGAACTATATTTGGCTCATGGCCAGAAATCGCCAACATGATTTAATTCTATTTCCTTCCGTAATTTGCATATATCACGTTCAAATATGGCTTCAACTGTAATATGGCTTCAATGGACCAATCCCCAATTAACCAAAATTTTGAACTCAACAAGTCTAGACAAAATTTTCATCCCAGCTTGAAAGAGTATCACAAAATTAGTAATATTCCAAAGTTTCGTTGCGAAATGTTGTAAAATGCGGATAATATAGCCTTGCGAAGTTTGCAATTTTCAGTCATTTTAGATTACAAACGGGGAATGGTTACCACTTCCGTGCATAATACAAAATGACTGAAAATGCAAGGCTATATTATCCGCATTTTGCAACATTATGCAACGAAACTTTGGAATATTACGAATTTTGTTACGCTCTTTCATGCTGTGATGAAATTTTGTCTAGACTTGTTGAGTTCAAAATTCTGGTTAATTGGGGATTGGTCCATTGTTAATCGCAAAATTTGATAATAATGCAAGTCGTTTGCAACTTGCCTCAATCGCTGGCTGAAAAACAAAGTGTGTCGAAGTATTTAGTGTGATGGCCTGATTTCAGTTACTGCCTATTCTGCATGTTCAATATTTGTACAGAGGTTAGTTTTAACGACATCTGTCTATTTAACTCTATATATAAGAATACCGCACTCACTGCGTCTGCCACTACTAGGAACAAACGAAAATGCAGAATAGTACTGTTTACGGCAGAAGCTTGCCATATCTCAACGACTTATAATAGAATAATCACATATCCATGATTCTGGACATACATGTTCTGCTTTTCGAAAAGCAATTAGCGGAACTTCTACTGTTAGCGCATGTCGATCTCTTGAAACAATTCAATTGATTTGTGAGCTCACGAGAAAATACTCAGAATGCTTTAGTTAAATATCATGGTTAAATATGTGAACATGTCGAGGTTGTTATACAGCCATATTTCAAATATACTGTACTTTAACAAAAAGACGATATAAACTTTATAACAAAAGATAATGTAAAACGTAATAGAACGGCGAACTTGCAGATTCGGTCATCTCAATTAAATAATGGTAATGCTGGGATAGTAACGTTACAGACTGCAGAGGAGAGTGGGCAGTGAGGCTCCCTCATGGAAAACCTGCACCCCTCCTTGCAGGTAAGGCCAGGCATGCACCTGAGTATAACCAAACAAGTGTATACTGTAGTAGAAGACCAGTCTCGACGCTTTTGAGGATACTCCTGGTACCACAAATTATTCAAACGTTTTGTTTTGCATGAATTTCTTTTTTCGAAGGCGCGCCTTTCAGTTTGCGTCATGTTCTCTAAATCTGTCCATTATACAACACGTCCCTCCCCCCCCCCCTGTGCTTCTGTCCGTCATTGGTTAAGCATCATAATTATCTAGACATAATTCTTATATTTTCTTCTTTGTTTATCTGGTAAACAACACACAAAGTCGCAGGACGGATCACACGATTTCTTGCATCGCTTTGGACATTTCTTCTTGTGATCGTGCTTCGTTTCACTCTTTTCCATCCGCCTCGCGATGACGTCGCGCATCGTCGGAGTAAGATCGGGAACACAACACGCGATGTGACAAGACTGGAGGCATCGATGTTGACATATGTCTTCGCATAGTGCTAAAAATACGAAAAGTTAAAATCAGAAACTAAACTGCCTTTATCTATACTGGATATCCCTAATAGTTCTAACTGTTCTACCTAGAGGTCCATTAACACTGGATCAAGAAGAGACGATCTTTACTGGACCTTTAGGAAAAATAGTGTAGAACTGGTAGAGCTATCCATTATAAATAAAGTTAGTTTAGTTTAGGTTTCCTCCTGTAGTAACACTAGATCAATAAGAGATGACCCTCACTGGACATTTAGGAAAAATAGTTTAGAACTGATAGAGCTATCCAGTATAAATAAAGTTAGTTTAGTGTAGGTTTCTCCTGTAGTAACACTAGATCAATAATAGATGACCCTTACTGGAACTCTAGGAAGAACAGTTTAGAACTATTAGGGATATCCAGTATAAATAAAGTTAGTTTAGTTTAGGTTTCTCCTGTAGTAACACTAGATCAATAAGAGATGACCCTTACTGAGCCTCTAGGAAGAACAGTTTTCTTATCCAGTATACATAGAGTTAGTTTAGTTTAGGTTTTCTCCTGTGGTGAAACTGGATCAATAAGGGATGATCCATAATGGAACTCTAGAAAGAACAGTTTAGAACTGATAGAGTTATTTAGTATAAGTAAGTTATTTTAGATTTAGTTTTTTCGCTGCGTGGTTAATGTTCCAACATACGTTTTGCTACTGGGACTGCAGCTTTCGTAACTGCAGGCTGATCTTGCTCCTCTGGTCTGTATACAACAGCAATCTCTAAATAAATAAAGTTAGTTTAATTTAGGTTTCCTCCTATAGTAACACTGGATCAATAGGAGATGAACCTTACTGGACCTCTAGGAAGAACAGTTTAGAACTGATAGAGTTATCCAGTATAAATAAAGTTCGTTTAGTTTAGGTTTCCTCCTGTAGTAACACTGGATCAATAAGAGATGATTCTTACTGGACCTCTAGGAAGAACAGTTTAGAACTGATAGAGTTATCCAGTATAAATAAAGTTA